GGCACCGGGCAAGATGCAAATGAAGCCTGGGATATTTAAATCCCGGGCTTCATTTGTAACTTCGAATGCCTACATTAGCCACTCTAGTTCGAACTAGGGAGGCAGTGTAGACATTCCCTCCTTTATCCAAACTCCCTCTCAGATCCTACACTCCCTCCTACACCCTAAGCTCCCTTCTGTACTTCACCCCACCCCACACCCTGCCCTCTGTCTGCTCCCCACTGCCTGTCTGCCCCTCCTCTCCGCCTCACACCTCCCCTTCTGCCTCCCACCCTGTCTGCCCTCCACTCCGCCCTATGCATCCCTCAACTTCCTCACCAACTCCCCTACACACTCCCGTCTGTCCCCCACCCCACCCCACACACTCCCATCTTCCTCACCACCCCCCACACACACTCCCCTGTCTACCTGCCCCTCCAGCCCCCCCATCTGCTCCTCTATCCCCCATACACGTCCATCTGTGTACCCCTCCAGACATATCCTGAACCTCCTTCCAGGGAGAGTAGTTCATGAGTGACAGGCACCAAGTGGGGAAAGGTAGGAGTTTTAGAAATAAAAACTGAATGGATGCTACATCTGTAACTAGTACAAAAGCAAGAACCCAACCAGTTAGAAGTGCCAACTGTGAGACAGCTACGTTCCCTGGGTAAGCAAGCTTGAACCTTAACATTTTCTAGCACTGGTGAATTAGAGAACTAACCTGGTATCACCTTCGCCAACATATCAACTCGTAAGTTATGAAATAGTTAGACTACAAAGATGCCCGAAAAATAGCAGAGCTTAAGCAAAGATTGTGATACTTAGGGAAAGGGGACCTATTTTACCGCAAGTCATGTTTGTTCCAGAGTTTTTTTCCCTATTTGAAAACTTAGATTAAAATAAGATACCAACCCAAAAGTGAAATTCTAGATGATTGTATCGAAGTAACAAGACACTGACCATTCTGACACTAGGCTACTGCACTACGTTTTTTCCATTCAACACTTCTAAAACAGTCACATGGCCATTTTGTAAAATGTATCAGAAAACAGCAATCTTAAGAAAAACATAAATATTTGCTGTATTAAAATATTTGTTAGTTAAAGCACAAAAGTATGAAAATAAAAACAAAAAAATAAATTACTCTCCAGCCAAGAATTCTAGGATCTCACATAAAGATTCTTCAAACAATTAGTCATCAACATACAAGATCCTTCAAAGTTAGAGTTTAAGCCCAGAGGGAACTACCAGATCACTTTGTCTGACCTCCTGTATATCACAGGACACCCACACACAAAACCAAGCAAACTAAATTAGACCAAAATATTACAGCCTATAGGAAACTAGAAGGTTGGTCTGAACTACAGAGTTAGTCAGCATAAAGCAGCTTACATAGATCTCACTTTGTAAGTGTCTACACTCCAACGTTGCTCCTGACGATGCATGTCACCCATTACTCCAGGAGGCATAGAGCTTGCATTGATGCATTCAGGGCAACAGTCCTGTGTAGACACTGCATTATTTACATTGCCTGGTGGCGCTCAGTCCTAGGGATGGGGGTTTCAGCTGACCACCGACAGAACCATAGACATGATTCACCACAGTAAATATCAAGGTTGCTGTATTTTGACTTAACTTTGTAAAAGGTCTCAGAATAATAGGGACTTGAGGTGTGGCACCAATGTTTAAGGCAACTGCAATGGCAGGGAACTGATTAAATGAGATATACTCTGATAATTGGGAGAAATGGCCTGCACCTCATATTGCAAGCACAAAGTAAAAAACCGTAAGGTCACTGGAAATCTGACTCAGAGGAAAATTCCTTCCCAACCAACAAATGGTGATCACTTAGACATTAGGGATGTAAATACCCAATTAAAAAGTTAACCAGTGCTACATTATGTAATTTTAATTGGTTAAATGGTCAGTCATGGAGGGGGTGGGGGAATTGTGCAGAGCTGCTGGCATCTCTAGCCTGGCTTCTTGCCTGCTGGCCCACTGTACCACAGGGCTGCTCCAGCCAGCTGGACCCACCATGGTTTAACTGGTTACCAGGTAAGCATGCTGGTAAGGCTAAGTTTAACCAGTTAAAACTTTTACATCCCAATGAGACAGTGCAAATGAGGTGACACTGGTACTGTTGCATCTGATTTCAGTTGGCCTGTATTTTCTTTTTGGGGACATAGAGGGGAGACGGCCAAAAGTCAAACATTTGGCCCTGAACTCCTTAAAAAAAGTTACAACTCACACAAAACAAAAATGCTCTCAATACTTAGGACAGGGGTAGGGAACCTTTTTTGGGTTGAGGGCCACTGACCCACAGAAAAAATCAGTTGAGGGCCGCACACAAAAAACCCTCAGACTAAGAGAAAGAGAAAGACACTCCACACATTCTCCACGCCTGGGGGGCCCAGCCTAATATATTTTGTGTGCTGCCCCACCATGGGGCAGGGAGCTGGAGCTAGAGTGCCAGCACAAGATCCCTCTCTGAGCCTTGGGGTTGGATTCGGGCAAGCTGCGGATCTGAGGTTCCCCATCCCTGACTTAGAAGCTGTCATACCTCAAAAATGGGACACTCTCCTCCCCCCAAACACCAAACAAAGAGGCAGCTTACAAAGGAAAAGAAATATCCTCAGAACTTCAACAGAGTCAGAGAACCTCCTCCTCTCTTCTTTAGATATGTGGGAGGATTCATCAGGTATACAAGTCTCACATGAGCCCACTGCATTTACCTATGTGATTTTCAGTTATAAATTTGACCTAATTGTAGCTGTATCTTTAAAAAAAACAAAAAACAAAAAAACACTAGATTCATCTTCCAATATAGCATTGATATTAGTTCTACTATTCTCAATTTTGCAAAACACTACCATAATAAAGCTGACAATTTCGACATGTGGCATGCCATTTTGTACTGCAGAGATGCACATCAAGATGAACTTTTGTAATGATTCATCACACTCTATATACTGCCCTATATCTAAACATCCTTATTTATATAATGAGGCAGGCAGGGGAAGCGAAAATACTAGGCACGTTTATTTTGATTTTTTTCCCCCAAGAGATTGCTAGAATGAGGGCCCAAACTGTAAGCCCTGCTTTTCTCTCCTTTTGATCTTTGCTGAAAAAGAGCATGTCGCAGTGAGTCTCAGCTCTTGAGATCTTGAATTCCTTAACATTTTCTAGGGTTAAAGCCACATAAAGAAAGCTCCTCCTTACTATTCAATAGATTACACAAATGACTTTAAAATGCCAACCCATTCGTCAGAACAGTCACACATATCAAATGATTTTATTTTTCACACGCAGGGTCGGCTGTTTCCCTGGCTACCATGGACTGGCAGTGACAAAGGGACAAACATCTTGAATTCCTTAACATTTTCTAGGGTTAAAGCCACATAAAGAAAGCTCCTCCTTACTATTCAATAGATTACACAAATGACTTTAAAATGCCAACCCATTCGTCAGAACAGTCACACATATCAAATGATTTTATTTTTCACACGCAGGGTCGGCTGTTTCCCTGGCTACCATGGACTGGCAGTGACAAAGGGACAAACAGTCAGTACACCCACACACCGGGGCACAAGCCACAAAGGCCCACCCGCTGGCGGGGCACGGCCCCCGCGCCCGCATTGCCAAAGCAGC